ATAAGAGTGTGTGTTTCGCTCCATTTTGCTTTTTGTGACTCCAACGGGGGAGATTTGCTGTGTTCGTGAACATCCGTGCGTTTTGTTCGGTTTGAGTCGCAAACTTTTGGTGAGTCTCTCTCTTTTTTAACTTCGTTCATTATATAACCATCCGCACGTTCAGTGCGGTGCCACCGGATTGACGAGTCTTCTGTTGAGTGCTTTGCACTCTGTAGTTCAATCCCTAATAAGGAGCGCAACATATTTTATCACGGGGGACGGCAGTCCCCCAAGTGACGCAATACCAACATACATATGAAATATGTATATTTTGCGTCACTCTATATATACTGTAAAGAAATGAAAATCGATACCGCTGATTTTTGGAAAAGGGTTTTTGCATATTTTAGTAGTGCTCGGGCACCAAATTAAGAATCCGCAAAAAAAATGAAAAATTTCAAAATTTGACCGCTAGGTGGCGTATCAAAAAAAAAGGTAAATTTTTGGTTTTGTCCATTTTTTGACCACCCAAACCAAAAACAAATTTCCGAAAAATGACATATTCGGAAACTGGAGTTCGGGTAGATAGTGTTGAAAAAAAAAATTGTTGGAATCGATCGAAAAGTGTCCGAGATATGATCATGTCAAAAAATCTTACGAAAAACACGAAATTTTTGAAATGGTTTGTTTGTGTGTCCGCAAATTTTTTTCCGTAGTTTTTGACAAATCGCCGGAGACCGATTTTATTCGAAAGTAGATGGAAAACTGAGCATACATGTCTCTTCGAATTTTTGGATTTCGTCGCGCAAGTGCCTGGGGTCTAGGTTCGAAAAAAAGTGGAATGCACTTCGAATGGCCTACTTTCTGTGCATATGAAAGGTGAGGTAATGATCTATATGTCGTTGGAAAGGTACGAACCTCAGCTATCCAAATCTGAAGTCAGATTGGAAAAAATTTCGAAAATGATCGCTAGATGGCGCTGCATGTGTTGTTTTTTTGGAAAAATGACCATGACTTTTTTCACACCAACCAAAATTAAAAAAATTACAGCATTAGTTTTCTGGTGGAAAACTGAGCGTTTGTTGGGGACCGAATTTGTGATGTTTTGGTGTATGTGTCATGTCTGGGAAAATTCGTAACGAACCAATTTTTTTGTCCAAAGTAAAAAAAATTTTTTTCGGAAATTTTCGATTTTTGAAGAATTTTCAGATTATGGTATACCGAGTGTTTTTCAACAATAATACGTCATTTGTGGCTCTTTAGCAAGACATTGAGCTCCCCTTGAGCATACAGCGAAGAAATTAAAAAAAAAAATCAGTGGAGATGGTTTAACCCATTTATGACCATACGATTAAAAATTGGGGAAAAATCGATGAAAATCGTAATTTTGTTAAAAAAAATGTGTGAATAACGATTTTTTTTATCATAGATCGAAAGAGCACCCAATTTTAAACCAATGTGCACATTTTTTAGAACCAAAATTTTTCAAAATTGGTCAAAGTTGAAAAAATTTGGCCGACCACTTTTTTAAGATTTTTTTAATAATTGTTTTGATTTTTAGAGATAATCGGCCTGGAAACCACACCTTGAAATGATATTTGAGGGTTTTATTCAATTGAAGAAAATGAATTAAAACATTGGTACAATTAGTTTTGAATAGATTTGGTAACCATACATACTAACTACAAATTCAACGTAGTTTACAAAAACAATTGAAAATGCAAACAAAAATTTCGAGAGCAAACAGAAAACTCTAATTCAATGTAAAAACAAATGATAAGTATGGCAGAAAGCAAAAAAAAAATTGGCGTGCATTGCAAGAAATCGATTAACATAAATATTTTTGATTTCCGATGTGATGAATATCAATATACGAATGCGATAAAAGGACATAATTAAAGAATATAAAAAATTGAGGCGAGCATAGCGAGCAAAATTTTTTTGTAGATTTCAAACAGAAAAATTAAATTTAATGTTAAAACAAATGATATAAGTAAAAAACACTTCTTTGGAAGTTCTCACTGTGACGCAATACTGCACATCAAATCTGAAAATGATCTGATATAAATTTTCAGTGACGCTTGCAATCAAATACACAAACAATTTTTATATTGCGTTGCCACTCTCATTCTTAGAAAATTAAAAATGAAAATTTCATTGTGATAATGCCCAAGAGGCAACGCAATATAAAAATTGTTTGTGTATTTGATTGCAAGCGTCACTGAAAATTTATATCAGATCATTTTCAGATTTGATGTGCAGTATTGCGTCACAGTGAGAACTTCCAAAGAAGTGTTTTTTACTTATACATACACACGCGTAAGATGATAGATGAACGTTGAAATACAGATTCAAGTCTCATTGAAAGTCTCAAATTTAAGTGTTATCCGGTTTTTCGGATTTTCGGATCTTTTGAACCCAGAAATCATTCCGCTGTGATTTAAACCGATTTCTGGGTTCGAAATATCCGGAAATTTTTCTGTGAGTACATGCAAATTTGAACATGCAAGAGTGAAATAAAATAAATATCCATGTGGTATTTTCTTACGTTTCAAGTATTGATATTAATTTTCCAAATTTCATTCATAGTTATATATTCCTTATATTTTATTCTTCAAATTAAAAATATTTGAGTCATGATTTTTCTCAGGCATTCATATATCTATTGAATACATCGAGAAGAGAGAATGTTATTCAGCGCTTATGGCTGAGTAATGTCTGAATAAAAACATACTCTCCTCTCGATATTTTCAATAGATATGATGTTGATATTGTACAAAATTATTGTCCGTTAAACACAATCTTCTCTGTTGTGATAAAGTTTACTCCCTAGGTAGATAGTCTATTTTTTTAAGTATTTTTTATAGTTTTTCATATTATTAGTATCGCATATTTACTTTTTGTAATTGTATATATTTGTTGATCAAGCAATGAACCAATTTCAGTCTACGATCCAGAACTTAGAAAACTCCGGATAGCGTTGTATATACATGTACGCCAAGAACAATTCGACTATACACGAAGAAACTGTGCAACTAGCAAAACTGATTTGAACATTTGAAACGAATAGAATGATGAAACGTTTACAATAAGACACATACGTATGTGTTTGGTGTTCGAAAATGAATTGTCAAGATTTCATCTAAATAAAACGAAGCTGTCACTGAACAATAAATTATAGGTTAAAGTTAGTTGTTTGAAAATGTGAAAAGAATTTCATATCTGCAGTATTGATTGCTTATTAGACATGTAAATTCAATATAGAAATAAAAAAAATCATTATTTGTTTTCATTATGAACAATGATTCAAAAAAATCACTTCAACATCATCAGTTGTATGATTCTACTACAAAATTGGTAATTTAAATACTGCTTTATTAGGGTTATATTCCAGATTTTTAAGCATATTTCCATTTAATTTTAATTTAGCAACGATCTCAGCATGAAACACCTGATAGTGAATCCAGTAATTTCGAGTGTTATCAAAATTTTACGGCTCCGGAGGTGTTCGTACAACATATCGCTGGTATTGTAAATCAAGGAGATGTCGAACTCATTGTTCGCGCTCAGAAACAAATGTATGCATTGCTTTATATTGAAAAAATGAAATTATAGATAAATGTATATCCAGCAACTATATTAATCGAATTAAATGTTATTCTCGTTTGTTTTAGGTTACAGCGATTCGAAAAGACAAATGAAATGCTTCTAAACTGTAATGCTTTGAGTAATGGTCGCCTGAAGGCCACTAATGATGATTTTAAAAAGCACATCAAACTGATAAACGATATGAAAAAAGATTTGGAGTATATTTTTAAGAAAATTCGAAGTATTAAAATTAAAATTGGCATTCTTTATCCACAAGCGAAAAAAAAAGCTGAGAAAAAACTAAAAAATTGCAGTTTATCGGAAGAAAGCTCACCAAATGGAAATGAATCAGAGTCTGGCGCCGATTTCAAATTGGATGATGAAAAAGGCACAGAAAATATAAAAAGTGGAAAGCTTGTCGAACGAAAACTATCCGAAGAATGTGTTACTATAAATTATGTACAAATGGAAGCAGGCACCGATATTGGTGTATGCCTGAATTCGGATGGAAAAGTCGAAGGTAATGATCAAGGCATACTTACTTAAAAATTACTATTCCATTACTCTACAATTCCTGATCCATTCCTTCAATTACTGTTGGCTACGAACGTTCGTTCGTTCGTTCGTAGGCAATAGAAATAACATTTTGGTTCGTTCGTTCGTTCGTAGAAATTTAAAAATTAAATTGTATTCGTTCGTTCGTTCGTAGGAATTGAAAAAAAAAATTTTGTTCGTTCGTTCGTTCGTAGGTTTTGAAAAATTAAGGTGAGTTGTGTGTTTATAGAATGTCGATTGTAAACAAGTATGAATGCAAGAGTGAGCGAGACAGCATGAAAAAAAAAAGATTTGCCAAGGGAGATTTGGGTGACAGAGATGACAAATTTTTATGTTCTGTCCACAACACATGATATATACGACTTAGCTGTGTTCGAGAATTGTTTTGTGCTCAATACCGAGAGTTTCATATAAGGTTGCCATATAGCAAATATACCAAATATCACCCATTAAACAATATGCGAATGCCAATCATGATTGAGATAATAAGGAATTTGATTTTTGTTTCATTCTGATCGGACCAGGTGATTTTTTATCGCTTTTTAGAAAATTAAGCAGTATTTGCAAATCGAAAAAAAAATTATAATCTTTTTTTTTTCAATTTTTGAGATTTTTTACCATCTATATGGGAGGCTTGTATGAAAAACACGGAAGACCGCTGGAATTTTGTATTTGCCATTTCAGTGGTCTTCCGTGTCTTTCATACAAACCTTCTATGTAAATGGTAAAAAATCGCGAAAAATGAAAAAAAAAAAATTTAATTTTTTTTCTTCAATTTACAAATTTTACTCAATTTTCTGTATCACCTGGTCCGATCAGAATGAAAAAAAAAATCAAATCTGGATTTTTTTTTTCATTTTTTGAGTGCTCTATCCCGAGTCTCCGAGAGTTTCATATAAACTTCCCATTTAACACCTATTGATTAGTGACTGAATGCCAATCGTGATTTGAATGAAAAGGAATGCGAGTTTTTTATTCTGATTTCACCAGACGATACAGAAAATGTAATAGTATTTGAAAATCGAAAAACAAAATTATTTTTTTCATTATTCGCAAGTTTTCATTGGTTTTCATCATCTACATGGCAACTTTATATGAATCTCTCGGAGACTTGGTATAGAGCACTAAAAGTAAAAAAAATACAATTTTTTTCTCATTTCTCGAACACTTCTATCTATAATTTGAAATAAAAAATCGCTACGAACGAACGAACAAACGAACCAACGAACAAAATTTTTATTCTTCAATTCCTACGAACGAACGAAGGAACGAATTTTTTTTTCCGATTTCTACGAACGAACAAAATTTTTTTTTCATTTCCTACGAACGAACGAAAGAACACAATTTAATTTTTATATTTCTACGAACGAACGAACGAACCAAAATGTTATTTCTATTGCCTACGAACGAACGAACGAGTGTTCGTAGATGTTCGCAGCCAACACTACCTTCAATTCATTTTCCATTCTGTTCCATTACTTATTGATTAATTTCCATGTTTTCCATTTTTTTCTTCTGATCAACTCTAGGTAATGATTCAAGTGATAATGACTCTTCAGACTGTAATTCTGACACTTTATAATATATTTACTAAACAATTTGTACAAGTTGTTTATTTAAAATGTCTTTAAAAAGCTCTTTACCAAATAATTTTCTTAAAAAAAAAATCAATTCCAAATAAAAGTATATTTCTTCATTTTTCTCTATTTGTTTTTTTTTTTTTTGTTAAATTATCAGCTAACTCTTTTGATAACCGCTACAACGGTCTTCGAATTTGAAGTCTCTCTTCGAATAATTGTTATGGCAATGTGCTTACCAGTAAGCAGTGCTTACTGGTTAGACTTACAAAATATGGTGGAACAATTTTTTATCGCTTTTGCAAATTAAAAATGTATACGAAAATGCATTTTGATTTCTCGTTTTTTAAAAATGCTAAAATTATCTTACAATAAAACTGGCTTTTTAGATATTCCAGATATATATTCATAAATTACGATTATCGAATACAAATAAAACTGAGCCTCATTTTGTGAGTGATTTGAAGGACTTTGTTCGAGCGTGAAAAAAATATTTTTGCAGGAGTAATTAAAAGGTAAAAAAAAAAACAATGCTAATACTTTAATAGTCAAAAAATCTAAATAAATACAAATTCATATCTAATAATCTGTGCGAAAATGGTTTCATTATAAATTTTCGGCCATGTGTGGAAGTTGTGTCTTGAAAGATATTATAAGTATTGTTATTTTTTTATGTTTCATCGTGTTTTCGTTTACGATTTTTCTGCGGAGTAATAACTGAAACCAGTTCAGCGGCCGTCTCAATTTCGGTCTCATTCTCATTCGATGTATTTGGTTTTGGTTCTGCTGTGTTGTTGACGGTCTCGTCCTCCTCATCTATTGATGCCAGAGTTTGTATGTTGTCGCATTTAGGAATTTCATCGTCGTCGGTTTTCAATCTCTTATTATTATTTCCAACCTCAGGTTTTTCAAAACCAGAAAGTTTCTTGGCATTTTTATTGAAAAGCTCGCGGTTGTATCGATATTCGTCTGACACATCGTAACGCAATGGGTCATCATTATTTGGACTTGCTAAGAGTAGTTGAATTGAGAGCAAAATTGATTCGAGTGTGATCGCTGGATTGTATGAGCCCCCAGGTGGCATTCGCAAGACATCCAAACAAATTTTACCATCTATGCGACAAAGAAAAATAAGTTAAGAGTAAACAATTTGAAAACACAAATACGTTCGAAAATATGATGGATGTTTCATATAATAACATTGACGACGCTTGTCTTATATAGCATAGGATTCAGCATGGAAGAATAACACAACTAAAATCGATCTAGCTCTAATGCATCTCAATCACTGTTTCACTGTCTCTTCCTTCTGTATTATTTTATGCATTTGCTTGGATAATTTATGCAATTCCAATTTGATTTATATTTAAGATAGAAAGACACTGCCTATTGTTTTAATTACCTGTATCTATGTTCGGATGATATACGGGTGTAAGGAACTTTGCACTAGGTGGTCGAAAGGGATAGTGTTCATCAAATTCCATTGCAATTTTAAACTGAATCTCTTCATATGGAGTCTCTTTTGGTCCTGGAACAATTGCTTCTAAAGATTCATATGAATCATTTTGAATATAACAGCGAATACCTATATATATATATATTATATATATTTAGAAATTATTACTCTATAAAACTTTTATTCTCACAGAAAGACACGAAGCTATCCAATATATATTTCCTTTGAAAATTTACCATGATCACTTGATGATTCTTCAATTTGCTTGATTTCAGCTGGTAGACGCCTTGGTCTTATGTCCACAGAATATGGGCTGCACATTTTAAATTTATTTTTATATATGCAACAATGTGTAGATTTATTTCAAATTGGATTGAAGCCTTTTCAAGTTAAAAAAAGTATGATCATTTATAAAATATAATATGTTTTTTTTTTCTTTAATTTAAAGGATGGAAGTTCAATTTGACAAATACAATAAATATGAATGGAATGCGCGTTGTGTATGATAAAACACGAACAAAAGGCGAATTCGATGTATATACACAACAATGAAAATAAGTTTGATGGCGTATATCATCAATCAAAATACATGTCATTTATAGCTTAACATAATATATGGCATACATGTACTAATGCATCGCATTATACTGAATTCGATTTCGAATGAATGCTTAAACATCGAAATTCATGACGATTTCGATCTATAATGTGTGTAATGTGTGTTAGTTACGCTTAATAGCGTGTTTTCTCATGACAGAGAAAAATAAACAAAGAATACACTAGTGATAGTTCGAATGTATTTGTAATCCTGTGTTTACGTGCTTAGCAATTAGTTTATATTGAAGATATATATCTGATTACAAAATAAATAATAATTATTCATGTTATTTTACAATTCATTTTCATATGCCAATTAATAATATTTTTTTACTCTCAATTAATAATATTCATATGAAAATTAAATTGATAATGTTCGAATTCCAATTTCCGTTGAGTTATATATATGTTTTATTTCGAAATTTCGCTGTCTATTGCGAAAACCCGTACGTAACGCATTCTCACTAACACATTCTAACCATACTAACTGAACCAACTTCAGTGTGAACTATTCATTTTCAACGTATTTCAAAATAAGTACACTTTGTTCATGTAGGCATAAGACAGTGTTTTTCTATTCATGTGTGGTTCGAGACACAATCGCTTTTAATTATACAAATAATATTATATTACTAGCAAATATTTTAATCAAAGACTTTAAAATTTTCATCGAATATGGCACAAAACATAAGTCCAGATCGTTCACAATCATCAAATTTATCAAAGCAAAACGAAGAAGCTGTACAAATCAAAGATAATCATGCAGTAAGCAAAAGGTGCGTATTTCATTCATTTGAAATGAAAATTGCACAGCGTTTGATTGAAAAAGTCTTTTTTTATCTATAATGCTGTCGTCAAAAAAATGTTTATCAAAATAATATAAATAATTCTTAGGGTTTTGAATTTTTCATCTTTCTTTTTTAATTGGGCTTCTTTCGTTGAAAATGTGTGTGTATCAATGTGATTGAATAGGCGCGCGCGTCCAAAACTAATCATGACTTCTCGCAAACTCAATGCTTTACCTTAACAGTACTTCTTTATTCTATATTCAACTTTACATTCAATAATGACTATTGCTGATTCTAACAAAATAAAATAATTTTGATAGATGATAAATAGAAGAATTCATATTAAATTGTCACGATTTCCCGTGTGCCTTTTGCATGGAATAATTTATTGATTTTTCGTTGAATTTCCAATCTTTTGTCATCAAAAATGTTATTTACATGTCAAATAAGTTAATACACATCTGAAGATAAAAAAATGTACTCAATAATTTGGTGTTTCATTTGATTTTAATATCAGACTTTTTACCGTTCGTTTTTTATGTTTAATTTTAGATTACAAAAAGAATTGATGCTTTTGATGATGTCGTCTGAAAAAGGCATATCGGCATTTCCTGATGGTGATAACATATTCCGTTGGATAGGTACCATCAGCGGTCCACCAGATACATGCTATGCTGGTCACAAATACAAACTGCAATTAGAATTCCCAAATTCTTATCCATATTCCGCACCAGTAGTTAAATTCATCACACCATGCTTTCATCCAAACATTGATTTGTCGGGAGCAATTTGTTTGGATATTTTGAAGGATAAATGGTCAGCACTCTACGATGTTCGAACAATTTTACTATCAATCCAATCACTCTTGGGCGAACCGAATAACGAAAGTCCATTGAACGCTCATGCTTCATTACTTTGGAATAATCAAACAGAATTTAAAAAATACCTCGATGAATTCTACGAAAAGAACAAAGAAGAAGCTTAAAAGAAATACCAATAGCCAGTTAATGACAAGCAAAAAAAAAAAAACAATAAACAAAACATGCAACTTTCCAAGCAGTATCGCAATGAAACCAATAAAAATGAGATAAATCTGAATATGTTGAACAAATATAAACCAAATCGAATCGAAAATCAAGTCTGATGAAAACAACATCTACAAAGCCCAATGCACGCCAGAATAAACAGAAAATTCAAAACAAAAGATACGCGGCAGCAAATTCGATTGATTGAGGCGTAAAGCTTTTCATCTATTTATTATTTATAGCATATTAGATCATCCCGATTTTCGTTTTTAGTTTCTAAGGCACCACTCACTTCAGTAAGACATACAAATTTTTTTAACAAAAACAAAATAAAATAAAATAATATAATATTGATGTTCGTGATGAATTTATTTTTTTAAATACTTTTTTGTCGCATGAGGTGAAAAATGTATCTTCATGAAAAAATTATTGAGCAAAATGGCGCCGATTGACTGGCATTTAACATAAAAGATTTAACGGTCTTTTTTTTTAAAAAAAAAAGAAGATAAGTATTCGAACTTCGAATCGATGACGTTTACGTTTCGAACAGGTATATAACAAAAAATTGCGACAGAGATGTGATACTTGTTGTAAAATATAAACTCATTTGTCGTATATTGAAGTAAAATCTATTTGGTTCATTGAAAATGCATTGAATTTTGTATCATAATTTATTTTGTCGCATTTTGTGTTAATTGAAATAGATAATTTGCAGCTACACATATTTACATATACTAATCATTCTAAATATTACCTCGTTTTATCGCATATAAGTTATTAAAATCAAATGGATCTGGACAATCCTACGATTTATGGTTTGGAAACTCAGGTTCGAATATTAGATATATACATATAGATAAATATAGATATGGTTTCATTTTACGCCTCATTTTACTTGATAAACTAGAAAAAGTTTTTGAAAAAGACCACCGCCGTTTTCACCTAGGGATGATAAGAAAAAAATGGAAATCAATCAACATATAATGGAACGTAATGGAACAAAAAGTAATGGCGAAATAATCGAAAGAATGGACAGTAATCTTTCAGTAGTTAATAGAATAGAAATTTTAAAAAGTGATTATAACTAAGTTTTCACCCATTTTGGTATAATTCGTGTTTGAAGTTCTTCTTCAGCTGGTGAACAGTACCGTTTTAAATTAACATATTCTCGCTGTAATTGCCTTCGAAGCTCATCATTTACAGTAACTAAACATATTTGACTTTCTAAATCTCGATTTACGGACCGTTCACCAAAATTCGATGATCCAATAAGTGTTAAATCTGGTGTATAAGATCCAGGCAAATAATACCAAAGACCTTTTGCATGGTACGTCCAACCGGAACGTTGGTATTCATATAGTTTAATTCGTTCACTTTCATTGCACTCAATTAGTTTTTTTAAGAAATTTTTAGAAATCTGTGAGTATGCAGCTGGTATGCCTCCTGCAGGGCCTTTGGCACCTTGAAATCCATTTGCATTTGGATGTGCCATTAGAATATCACAATTTGCTTGACACTTTGTTGCTAATGTATCCATGTAGGTTTGTGTTAAATTGAAATATCCTGTAGTCAAGTTGATCCTTGAATTAGTTACAGCTTTCAATAATAGATTTTCAGTTAGAACACTATCATGATGTATATTCAATTGGCCCATTTCGATTAAAGGAAACACCCATGTATCGATTTTTGTATTGCTACTACAATATCTCTCTCCATGATATTTCATTTCATCAGCGGTTGCCGCGAAAAATTTACAAATTGAATCATTTGCTTGAGCAATGAAATGCTTTTGATCATCCTCGTACGATAGCATATTCCATTTTGAATGTGTGTAATATTTGTTGTCAGATGACACCTGTACGCTAAATTCTTTCACTTTTTCGATCAGCTGATAATAAAAGTCAGATAAATGTTTGTCGTTAATCATAATGTAACGATCTTGCCGATTCTTGAAGTAGTCATTTGACAAATTGGCTCCACTAATAATGACCGTTTGATCTGCCACATAAATTTTCATATGCTGTAAACCAATTAACTCATTCCATCGGTCAGGCATTACACGCTTTTTTAAACCCCTTAATTTTGGTGTATGATACAATGAAAGTGAGGTGTTTGTACTGCTGTTCATAATCTGCTGTAAAATTTGTTTTGATGAAGTTTTTTTGCCTTCACCTCGAGTACCACGTGTGAAGTCAATTAAAATATTTACTTTCAATTGTGAATTCTTGCATACATTTTCTTCAATATCCTTCACAAGCTGTGATTCGAGTTGATCTGTACCAAAATATAAACTGGCTATTCCAATTCGATTTGCTGCATTAACACAAAGGGTTTGTAATTTGGTGTAAAATATTTGTGGTTCCGTTATAATTTCTATTTGTCCGGCTTGAAGTGGAAAGCATACACTCATCGAATGTAACCAGTCCAAACTTTCCAGCCGTCTCACACCAAAAGAACCCGTTAAATGTACACCTTTAAATGGACTTTTGTCCATTTGTGGAGTTGAATCGGCTATTGTTGAAAATATTCGACGCAACATTTTTTTTCACGTTTCACTTAAATTCAATATGCGACTAATCGCCTTGTTTCTTCTTTGTTAAGTTCTTGTTTATTGAAAATGATCCAATTGTTTTCATTGTGTGAAATTATGAAAATATACACATAGTTTTGGTTATGTTACAACATTTTACTGTGACATTTATGATGATTGTTCTCCATTTTCGAAAATATTCGAAATTCGAAATTCATTGCGAAATTATTAGTTACGATTTGATTTTTCAAAAATAATTTTTTTTATTTTACAGGCCAGAACTTTGGCTCCACAATTAGGTGAAAATAATGAAATTCGTTTTTTTGTTGCAACTCAAACGTTAAAGCCCCAAAATCAAATTCATTTGGTCGAATTTAATGAAAATTCATTGGCATTGAACAAGCGCGTAAGTTATTCTTATTAAGATTTAAATGTACTTTTTTCAACTGAAACTTTATTTGCAGATATTTACTCATTCAGAAGGTGAAATTTGGAAAATAAATAGTAACCCGCATAATTCAAGGGAGCTTGTATTATGTTATAGCACATTGAAGAATTCTCAGATCATTACAAAAACGGCAATTTATCAACTTCCGGATTTGACATCGGATGTAGAGAGCAAGGAATTTTTGCAATTTGATTCGAAGGAAATTTTGAATACAGATAATTATGGTAGTGATATAAAGACAACAGAATTTCACTCAAGCGATAATAATTTACTAGCTACCGTTATTGATGATAAAATTTTACTTCACGAACGTACTGCGCCAGAAACAAGGCTGGTTGCTGAAATTAATTCCAAAAATGCGCCAAAATTAACAACTGGAAAATGGTCTCAGACACATTTGGGCAACCAATTCATTGCGCTTATTGATTGTGATGTGCGTTCCTATGATATTCGTGATCCAAATCATTGTGCGTGGTCTATTGAAGAGGCTCACAGCCAAATTATTCGAGATTTGGACTGTAATCCACATAAACATTGTCATTTTGTAACGGGCGGAGATGATGGTTATATTAAAATTTGGGATAATCGACACACAAAAGAACCAGTTTTTACTCGTAACGATCACCAACACTGGTATATTTTTATATAGTTTAGATCATATAATTATTATATGAATGTCCGAGAATGAAAGAGAGACTTCTATTCACCACTTATTAAAATGTAACACCACCATATAAAATATGCTGACAGTCAGAACTTTTTGGTGGTGTTACATTTCAATAAGTTGTGAATAGAAGTCTCGCTTTCATTTTCAGGCAATCATATGTATATCATATATCTATTGAAAATATCGAGAGGAGAGTATGTTTTTATTTAGACATTACTCACCAGTAAACATCCCCAGTGGCATAGGTATTAATTTTTCTACTAATTAGTAGAATTTTTATTAGTTTATAAGTTTCATCATTTTTATTATTTTATTACTTAGCCTTAAAGGCTCTATTTCCTAGGACACGATTTGCGCACGATTGTAATCGTGTACGATTATGTATTAAATCTACTAGAGCACAATTCTTTTTGTTGAGAGCGTCTGATTTACAGGAATATATTTATTCAATTTATTTCCAGTTCACGTTAATTTTTATTGTTTCTCTGACGATTTTGGTGCATTCATTTCAGATGCAATTGCTCACTTTTATCAACATTCATTTTGTAAGGAGCGGCTGGTCTTATGGCAATTTGGTTGGTGTCACAAACATCTGACCGATCGGTTCGTTCATCAGAGCGTCCAAAGTGAAGCGTCCCGATCTCTGTGTTTAGTAGCATCTGAGAGCATTTATTGACAAATGTCAATTAAACGCTGTACTATTGACATGTGCCAATAAATGCTCTATTACTACTTTTTTGTGTGTACTTGCAAAATTTCGGCTCACTTCGCTCGCCAACACATATTCCGATTTCAGGGTACAAGGAGTGCTCTGGGGGTTCAGGAGGTATGGTTTTCTAGGAGTAATTTTTCGTAAGGAATCCAAAAATGGCCCTTCCTTTGGTAATATTTTTTTTTGTCTCTTCAAGGGCTACAACTTTGGCGAAGAAAGTATTCGAATATATTGCGTCGTTTAAAAGATATAGATGAGCGTACATAACATAAAAAGGGGATTTTTGGCTTTTCAAGGGGGCGTATCTAGGGGGTATATGAATTTGGGGAAAAAAATTTGATGCAAAACGTGTTATTTTGGACCCCTCTACCATATCCAATAGGATAATAAATATGAAAAAAAAAATCTATCCACTGGGGATGTTTACTGGTCAGCTATAAGCGCTGAATAACATACTCTCTTCTCGATATATTCAATAGATATAATCTAACATAAAAAACAATATATGATTCTATTTTCATCGTAACAGGATTTGGAGTGTTCGATTTAATTTCTTCCATGATCAGCTTGTTTTATCTAGCAGCAGCGATTGTAAAGTTTTACTAACATGTACATCTAGTGTTAGCTCGGAAGCATCAAATGAACATACTGATAAAGAAAACTTGTAAGTAGTCCCATTCTAACAAATAAAAAATATGCAAAATTCAAAACCCTACATTTATTTGATAGGATACCGGATGGTTTGCTCAAAACGTATGATCAACATGAAGACTCAGTCTATTGCGCTGAATGGAGTAACGTTGATCCATGGCTTTTTGCTTCACTGAGTTATGATGGGCGAATGTGCATTAATCGAGTTCCAAAAGAATATAAATTAAAGCTTTTAATGGACAGCAACTACTAATTTAACAGTTACAAAATAATCTGAGAAGTAACAAAAACAATAACCACAAATAAATTTAAAATCGCATGAGCAAAAATGAATGGGTTAGGATAAAAGTGAGCTCAAATTTTCATATAAAAAGATCTCAATCATGGAATCGGTAAAAATAAATGACCAACTAAACTGAGATGAAAATAAAAGAGCAACATGATTCATGTTGGTCTTTTATTTTCACTCTAAACATGTTGAACTTTTATTTTTACGCTGCGCACGGTGGTGTTTTATTTTCAAAGCAAATAAGTTCCCGTTTTATTGGAAGTCCAATCAAGTTGGTATTTTATTTACATTTCAGCGGTCTTCCGTGTTTTTCGGCTTGTATGATTCCATTTAGATTTAAAAAAATCGCTAAAAATGAAAAAAAAATATATTTTTTTTTCTTCGATTTACAAATTCTATTCAATTTTCTGTATCATCTGATGAAATCAGAATGAAAAAACTCTCATTCCTCATCATTGAAATCGTGATTGGCATTCGGTCACTATTCAATAGGTGTTACATGGGAAGTTTATATGAAACTCTCGGAGACTCGGTATAGAGCACTCAAAAAGTGAAAAAAATCCAGATCGTGATTTGAGTGATAAGGAACGCGATTTTTTTTATTCTGATTTCACCAGGTGATACAGAAAGTTGAGAAGTATTTGAGAATTGAAGAAAAAAAATTAATAATTTTTTTCATTTTTCACGATTTTTATCATTTACATGGGAGGCTTGTATGAAAGAGACACGGAAGACCGCTGAAATGGCAAATGCCAAATATATACGGACCTACGGCAGTGCCATTTCAGCGGTCTTCCGTGTTTTTCATACAAGCCTCCCATGTAGATGGTGAAAAATCGCGAAAAATGAAAAAAATTATTAAATTTTTTTTCTTCGATTCTCAAATACTTCTCAATTTTCTGTATCACCTGGTGAAATCAAAATGAAAATAATCACATTCCATATCATCTAAATCACGATCTGGAATTTTTTCATTGTTTGAGTGCTCTATACCGAGTCTCCGAGAGTTTCATATAAACTTCCTATGTGATGCCTATTGAATAGTAAGCGAATATCAATCGTGATTGAATCAATAGGCGTCATTTGGCTATTGCAAGGCGTGTTTATATGAAACTCTCGAGGACTCGGTAGAGAGCAAAAAATTGAAAAAAAAAAAATTATTTTTTTTTTATTTCTCGAACACCACTAAATGGTCTATATCATTTGCTGTGAAAAATTTGCTATCTCTTTCACCCAAATCGTGCTTGGCAAATGACAAGTCGTTGTCTCATGCTATCACGCTCACCCTTGCATGTATGAATGTTTACAATGGACATTCTATTCACACACAACTCGCACTTATATCTTGCTGCGCAATAGAAATCGTCGACACAAAACTCAAAGCGATTACCAAATAAATACATTCTCAACAATTTTATTACGCAGCAAAATATAAGTACGAGTTGTGTGTGAATAGAATATCCATTGTAAACATTTATACATGCAAGGGGGAGCGAGATAGCATTTGACAACGATTTGGGTGACAAAGATGACAAATTTTTACGTTCTGATCACACCACATGATATAGACCCTTTGATGGTGTTCGAGAAATGAAAAAAAAAACCATTTTTTTTTTCACTTTTTTGCTCTCTACCGAGCGAAGCCCGATCATGGTATAGGATTTCCTATATAAACCTTGTAACTAACAACACCTCTATGTGTATTCCGAGTACTAATCGACGTTTGTAACAATATGGCCGTCACGGTTTGGCAAAATCATAATGAATCGATTAAACTGCCTTAAACTGTTAAAATAAAACAGTAAAAATAAATAGATTTTAATTTTTTACATTTGTGAAAATAAAAAATCTTTTGTTTTTTTAATTTTGTGAGATTTTCTGTACACAATATTCAAAAATATTAAATTAATAAAAATGAATTGGTTGACATAGCCTCACTTTTGTGTCACAATCGTGATAAACCGATCAAATAATTACTTAAACGAAAGTGAGGTTATGTCAACCACTTCATTTTTTATTAATTTAATATTTTTGAATATTGTGCAGTAAATCTCACGAAACTGCCGGAAACTACAAAACAAAACAAAGAATTTTTATTTTTAAAAATGTAAAAAATGAAAATATTTTTATTTCTACTGTTTTAATAATTATTTAATCGGTTTATCACCATTGTGACACAAAAGTGAGGTTATGTCAACTAATTCATTTTTATTGAATTAATATTTTTGAATATTGTGGACAGAAAATTCTACAAAATTAAAAAACAAAAATTTTTCCAAAATGTAAAAAATTAATATGTATTTCTACTGTTTTAATTTAACATTTTAACGCAGTTTAATCGATTCATTATGATTTTGCCAAACTGTGACGGCCATATTGTCACAAACTTCGATTAGTACTCGGAATACGCATTAGAGGTGTTGTTAGTTACGGGCATGATCAGGCTTCGGTTGACTTCAATTTGTATCGCACGCAATGTGATGCGCTTTGAACAGGCTAAAAACATTTTTATCTAAGTACATGTATCGAAAACAAAAAAAGAGTTTTAGTTAGTTTTTCCCTCCAAATATAAAAGATTTTCTTCGAAAAATATTTATAAAACATATAAAATGAATTTTTTTTTAATTTTTTGAATAATTCATAATTTTCAATAATACGTAATAAGTTGTGCTGTTAATATGTTAGCTTACGTATTTTACTAAATTTTTATTATCTTCATTTTTTTTTGTACAGGTGAAGTTTATCTGATATCATTTGAATGCATACAGAATTAAAAGCAAAATGCCTTCTTGCATCGATCAAAATCAAATACTTGGCCGAAAATAAGTGAAAGAAAAGAACAATACGAACAAACAGCTTATCTTAAAGAGAAAGAAATAGTGTTGACTATCGACGCAATGTTGTGATAAGTGATCCCATTTATTTCGATATGATTTTATTTGAAAATAAACAAAACCAATAACCCCATTCGATTTTCTCGTTTTTTCCAACTTTATCGACACTGTTGTTTTTAATATTCTATGATTTCTTGCACTGTTTATTTCTGGAATAGAAAAATTATACATCGTCATTTATTCGAAGTTTAAATTTTGATCGAGAATTGAACGTTAAATTAAAGTGAGAATTTTTGTCAAATATTTGTGAAAATGCTAAAAATGGGAGTTAAGAAAAAACATGATCATGAAAGTGGTTTTTTTGAGGAAAATTTATGCGAACCAACCAAATCAAATCGTAATTTACAAAGCGAATGGGTTCATTCTTACCAAAATCAATCAACACGAAACACGCCGACCGCACAGCAAAATAACGGTGATTCAAATTATTTGAATAAGCCAATGGATTTACTTGAAATCGCCCGCGACATAAATACAAATAACAAAAATTACGGCCACTATCTATCAATGTATGATCGCGAAAAAATGAGCTCAACCGGTGAAAGTAAAAGCAAGCATAGTTCACGTAATCGTACATGTAGGCATCAAGTAGAAAGTAGCTCAAATACTGTTTCACACACAATTGTCATCTCAGATGAAGAAGATGATGATGAGGACACACATAATGCGCACAACCAGGCTAATGGTAGGAATAATTTCAAATATAAATTTTTATCAGAACATTGGTTACAAATTCATATCCTTGCAGAAAGTTTTTATATGACAAAAAGCAACGGACAGCACAATAAACGAGCCTCAGATGAAATAGTGGATATAACAGATGATGAGGAAAACGAGGAGAATGATAACGATGAAGAAAGGCAAGTTTTTACTATGCATCTTTTTTAAAAAATGAATCGAACTTATACTAAATAAAAAAAATCCATAACTTTTACAGATACGAATCAAAAAAAGGTTACAAAGGCAATCACAAGCATCAAGGATATCGTGGCAAGAAAAGTGATCAAGTCAGCAGTTTCGTGACAGATGATAAACATACACGCAGCAACAGATCAAACGAAAGGGTTGCAGGCAGCGAAACGCTTGCTAAAGAGATCGAGCAAGCATCAACAATCCGACCACAAGGTAAGCAGAACAATTTTCATTTCATCATATCTAGTGACATTCAAAGTGTAAGTGTTTTGGAATGGCAAATGAACGATCAGTTACTGCACTAATTATTGCCATATAACAACAACAATCAAAAATAACTATTTCGATTTTAAAACATACAAAAAATACTACGCATTACCAGCCATTTTATGTTAGTCCAAGAGATCTGAATTCGCTGTATCAAATATACATCAAAATTTCAATACGTATATTTTGCTATTTTATTTCTTATTACTACATCAAACCCACGACACCTTTCATTTCATTATCTTTGAATGGTCGAACAGATAACTGCATTCTTGTTTGTATACGAACTCCACTTCGAACGCAAAGAGAATATTTCTGAATGTACTGTACTCGGCAATGAATTTAAGTCATGTTTCAATAGCGGTGCCGCAACGGGAACGCACGACTTTTTCCTTCTTTTCTCATTTCGCATATCGGTATATTCATACAGCGGACATATGACGTTTATTTTTTCCTTCCTTTTCTTCGTTTGTGTTTTTTCTCCTCTACTTCTTCTTCTTAATTTAGTGTTCTATACTTGATTATGTGTACGTGTTCTTCGTTTTCATGTATTGGTTTTCATTTGACCTACATACATTTGAATACATTGGATCATAGTTTACATGAAAATCACTCAGCAATAGAACGTTTATCTTACGAAAATGGCAGAACAAAACCGACATTCTTGAGCATATATTACGTGCATATGATTATATTCATGTATATTTTTAATTACTAGTAAATAATTTAGAACTACGATCTTATGATTTTTACACTCATCTTGATTTCCATATTTTGAACGCCAGAGTTTGTGTGTGTTTATTAAATCAAAAATAATTGAATGCTCTACTCTCTCTCTCTTGACAATATTGTCTCGCTTTGATATGTATCCGTTTTGAGTCGCGTTTCGATATGCGAGTAAACAATAAGATGTTTTTATTCTAGAGTGTTCAATTATAGTAAAGTGATAAGTTTTTTACTTCCTTTTCCTTCCTAATGTAAAAATAACGCTTCAAACTGTTCATCATCGGGATAACAAAGAAGGTTTGATATCATAGGGTTTTCCTTTTTTTATTCTCGGTTTGGTGGTATTCCTTTCAAGATAATGTACGGAAAAGTGAAATTCCTTCAAATATTTTTGCTAGGTATTTAAATAAAAGGCCAAGCGCAATTTGGACAGATACTTATAACACCATCTACGTAAAACACGCTGACTACAATGTAAATCAAACGTATATCTGTTTCCCCTTCTTCTTCATATACTTTCCCTCGCTATCCTTTTACATTGTAGTAGGCCTGTTTTACACAGATGGCGTTTTTCTGTGACATCACAATACAATCATATTGACTGCGCTCATCTCTCGGTTTAAATTAAAATGTATTTGAGAAATCGTTTATCAAAGCACATTTAAAATACTATATTTTAATAATATTTTTTAATTTAAGCATATTTAAAATCACTTTGAGAATTAGGAAAGTTGAAAATATTATTTTGGTGTTTTATAATTGAAATTTTATTATATTTGAATTTTCACCCAATATGTCCTAACATTTTTTTAAATAATTTTTTAAGCAAATCTCCGAGAAAGCGATAAAGTGAATTTATCACACTTCGAATTGATTCAAGTCTTGGGTACTGGAGGTAATTTTAAAAAATGGCTTATTCTCTATTTTTAAATATTTTATACCAGTTGGATGCAGACGTATGATTTTACTTGCAAGATAGCGGCTATTAATTGAATATTTAATCAAATGTGTCTCTCTTATTTAGCTTACGGAATTGTCTTCCTTGTACGAAAGAAAGGTGGCAAAGATGATGGCCAATTATATGCAATGAAAATCTTGAAGAAATCAGCTATAGTACAAAAAGTGAAAACTGCTGAACATACAAAAACGGAACGCCAGGTAGGGAAAAAATGAAACATAGCCAAAATAATTTCATATGTATATATATTTATATATATATTACAGGTACTTGAAGCTATTGGACGTAGCCCATTTTTGGTATCAATGCATTACGCCTTTCAAACAGAATCGAAACTCTACTTAGTATTAGGTATAATAATTGTTCTGATTATGTTTTTTTTATTTAATTTTGATTATCATGATGATAATATTAAAATTATGTGTTTTCCTTACATGGATTTTCAGATTATGTAAGTGGTGGTGAGCTATTCACTCATCTATATAAGCGTGATCACTTTACGGAAGATGAAGTGCGAATTTTCATAGCCGAAATTGTGATAGCAATTGAACAACTTCACAAATTAGGGATTATCTACAGGGATATAAAATTAGAAAATATTTTACTTGATTCCGATGGCCACATAGTCGTTACTGATTTTGGGCTATCAAAAGAACTGACCAAAGAATCGAATGGCAGATCATACAGTTTTTGTGGAACAATGGAGTATATGGCACCAGAAGTAGTACGTGGGGGAAAGAGCGGACATGATGTTAGTGTTGATTGGTGGTCAGTTGGTGTCCTTTGTTATGAACTTCTTACAGGTGCATCACCATTTACCATTGATGGGGATCCAAATAAACAAAATGAAATTTCAAAACGAATCTTAAAAGCAAGCCCTCCCATGCCAGAGATCATTCGCGAAGACGCTAGTGATTTAATAACCCGATTGTTGAACAAAGAACCATCAAAACGTCTCGGTAATTGAATAAATCAAAAAAAAAAAAAAACAAAAAAAAAAACAGAACATTTTAGACCGAGAGCTGATGGGAAAAAATCTATTATTTTTTCTTTATGTCAGAAAACTATATTAAACCATGCAGCTATACATACACTAAATAAATAATTTTACGTCTATCATTGCAGCCCTCCCACTCGCGAAATCTGCACTATTATTCGCGGATAGAAAATACATCAACTATTAAAGCGAGCTGCATGTTTGTTTTATTTTGGAATATGTTTTGTTATTGCTCAAATATTCGTTGGTTAAAATTTCTACATGTAATTCCGTGTTGTTTACAAACGCTTTGCAGCTCGCTTTAATAGTTGATGTATTTTCTATCCGCGAATAATAGTGTAGATTTCGCGAATGGGAGGGCTGTAATGATAGACGTAAAATATTTTTTTAAGTGTATGTCTAGCTGCATGGTTTAATATAGTTTTCTGACATAAAGCAAAAATAATAGAGCTTTTCCCATCAGCTCTCGGTCTATTTGCTTTTTATCGGGGAAAAAGGAAAAAACGATTTTTTTTATCCTATAGGAACCGGTTCAAAAGGGCCTGATGAAATCAAAGCTCATCGTTTCTTCAAAGGAATTGATTGGGTTAAATTGGCGAAAAAAGAAATCGATGCTCCATTTAAACCAAATATTCAACATCGATTAGATACAAGTAACTTTAGTGATGATTTCACCAAAATGCCAGTAGTAGACCAGCCATGCAAACCCCCAGCTAATCATGAACGATTATTCAGAGGTAAGAATAAAAATTCACTAGACTTATGGGAAAATAGATTCAATTAATTACTCCTTCATAATATCAAGGGTTTTCATTTGTTGCACCTGATCTTCTCGACGGATATGACTCGAAGAATTTGGATAGGAAGCCAAATATTGAAGAAGTCATTGAGTATAATGAGAAGGTAAAATTTGATTACTACACTTTTTAGTCCATGTATGCGAGTTTTGCACCCAAAATAATCAACTTTCTTTCAGAATGGATCATTTTACAAGAAATATACGTTTGAGGGTACTCAACCAATCGGTGATGGTTCATTTTCAATATGTATGAAATGTATTGATAACGATTCGGAAAAAGAATTTGCGGTTAAGATACTGCGATCAAATCAAAATGTTGATTCTGAAATTGAAGCACTGAAAATATGCCATGGCCATCCAAATATCGTCAGTATTGTTGAAGTAATAAGAGATAGTGCGTTCACGTATATTGTTACTGAATGGCTTGCTGGTAGAGAACTCTTCAAATACGCACAAGAACAGCAACTAAATGAAAGTGAGGTGCGTGTCATTTTCAAAGAAATTCTACAAGCTGTTACACACATGCATTCACATAAAATTGCACATCGAGATTTGAAACTGGAAAATATCAAATTCACCAGTAACAAGGCCAGTATGACAAATATCAAAATTTTAGATTTTGGATTTGCTTGCAACATGAACGGCGATAAGAATGAAATGGAAGTGGATCGCTATACGCTGGACTATGCAGCTCCTGAAATTTTGTCGAAAAAAAAATACACCGAATCTTGTGATTTATGGTCATTGGGTGTAATTTTATACGCATTATTGTGTGGTGGCATGCCATTCCGTCGAAATGGCATGAGTAATGATGACATCTCAAACATCAGAGAAAAAATTAAATACAACATTATACACGGATCAATTGACTGCCGCAATGATCAATGGGCTTCGCTTAGTAAATCTGTCAAGGACCTAATACGACGACTTTTGACTGTATCTCCAGAAAAGAGAATCAAGCTATCGGTAAATTATCGACAGTAAAAATACCCCCGTTATAACTGATTGTTTAACAATACTAATTCATTGCATAAATATAGGAAATTTTTGAACATGCCTGGCTGAATTCCACGGAGATTGATCCACCAAGTGCGATTCTAGTTTCGACAAAAACAGATTCAAAACAAAGGCAACACACTTTATCAAATCTAGCTGATGGACAGACTGGAATAATCACACGGGTAAGTTTATCTATCTTAGATGAATCCTTGCGACGGAATGCAGATATTTTTTATTAATTCTTTGTAAAATTTCAACATCTTTATTCGGAATTTAGAAAAAGCGAGGTGACCGATCAAATACAAAATACTCTTCAGTTGCCAGTACAGATGCATTGGTGGAAAGTACTACAAATGAATTGAGTTACAACAAAATTTCGACCGAAGTTAACCACACAATTGATGTATCAGATCAATGTAGTTGGTCAACAAGCAATGAACCCACAAATCCAATCAAAAATAGTGTCAATGGCGATGAGGTATACAACGATCATGTGATTGACGAAAAGATGGATGACATTGACAATAACAACGAAAAAATTATTGATCAAGATGATCAAGAAGGTTAGTCTTTTATTTCATTATAATTTATGGTGTTTATCTATCACAGTTTCGCCTCTTATAATACATTAATGTCGATAATATAGATTGAATATGACTTATAGTATTCTGATTACTATAAAAGTTGTTATTGTTTATTAAACACCATCAATATTCTCCCAAATGTTATTCATTTACAGATTCAAATCGTCATCAAATGTTCTCTAGTGATCTGGTAAATTCTCCAGTATATGAGGAGATCGCTATTGATGAGCCACAAGAATATATCGACATTTTGCCAACACTATCAATCTTGGATGATGTGAACAACGATAGTTTTGATGAGTTCAGTGATGATGAAGAAATCGATAAACTATACGGTTTTCAAACATGCGATTCAGCACTGATGTTGAGCTTGAATCGATCAATGGACCTGAAAACATTTTCCCGTTATCAATCACCGCGCTGGTATCCAAATCGATCAATAACACCATTCAGAAAGCGAAACTATCCCGATATGATGAAATCCATCTTTAACACATTTACCAACAAGATTGATGATAGTATCGAAACTGCATCTCGAGGTGGGCCAAAGCGTCGACGTCATCAAAAATGTAATCAAGCTCAATAAAAAAAGTGGTTAGTTAAAATGAGCATTGCAGCTGAAAAATTAAATTATGTGAATTAAAAACATGTCTCACAACAAATATCCATTATATCCACTATACAAGATGACTCAGACTTCATACTGTTATTCTTTTTATTATGTGACAATGTATTATCTAAAATAGAGATAAATTGATACGACAAAGAGAAATGTAAAGTCAATTGCAAACGTTAAAGTGTACATAAAAATTATGTATTCCATCTACAAAATGGAAAACGTGTCAACTAGATTTATGTAATATATTATAGTTACATGTTACAAAAATCTCAAAAGATTGAATCAATTTTCAAAAAAAGAAAGTAAAAAAAGCGTTTGAACTAACAACCTCGAAAACCTAGTTTTTACGCCACAAAGACTTACAAAGAAAATACACATTGTACACACAATAGATACCCTTTTCAAATTAAATGAAAAATTAACAGAAACAGAAAAGTGCCTTTTCTAGTAAAATAAAGAACAAAAAGGTGAAAAATTAATAAAAAGATAAAACAGCAGCAACAAAAATCTATATGTTTGTAAATATGAATTATATTTAATACGATAAATTATTAAGCATTTCTACTAATTGAGTTCAGTATGAATGAACTTATGGGATTGGGAAAAAATATTTTGTTTTGAAGATACTCTCATAATAGGAAAAAAGAAATTCCATCTCCAAGCGCATTTCCATTACTTATGTTTTTGTTGCGTATAAACATTGAACAATTCATTGAATTGAACTGAAAAAAAGATTTGAATGCATAATTTAAAAAGCAAAAAACAGAACAGAAAAAACATATTATCTTAATTTTACATTAAAAAAAACAACGATCACGGCGTATTTTAAGTTATAAAACAATTGTTATCAATTATATATCTTACCAAAAAAGAGACATTGATTCTATCGATAAAATTATCTATTTTCTTAAGTACGGTCGACAGCAATCGAAATAGAATATAATAAAATTATGCAAATAAGAAATGTTTGCATTTAATATGCAAATGGTAGACACTTTGTTTTTAATATGGTGACAATTATATATTATATTATTTGAATAACAAATAAACAAAATGGAAATAGGAAACAATTTATTCCTAGAAATGGTTGTCGCAGAAAGAAAAAAAAGTAGGAGAAGTACATTATTCACTTGATTTGCTCTTTATTTATTACTTTATTTATTAAATAAATTTCTTGTTATGCACTCGTTATGCAATAAAAACATTGAATGACAAGAAACACAATTTCAAAATGGAAATGAATGACTAAAATGGGACCAGATGTTTGGGAAACTACAAAATACATAATTTTATGGTAAATTTTAAGGCGATAAAACGCATGTTAGTAAGAAATTAAAAGGCGTTTGAAAACGTAAACTTCAAAATGTTTTTAGTATACTTTGGAATAAATACAAAATTATTCAGAACAACCAAAACAATTGCATTCGATGAGATTTTTGTGAAAATGGTTGGGATTTCTGTGAATTCTTTCAATGTTTATGTAAGCTCATAATAAGCTTCCTGATTTGATCCAAATCCAACAGTGAAGCTATTGAGCATGTTGTATTCTCCTGCATGTGACGATGCCATAACAGACTTTCAAAAATTGCCTACTTTCCGTCGTTTTCAGCAATTGTTGAATTTAAAAATCCGTAAATGTAGGAGAGCGTTCTAGTTCCACATGAATCGTATTTGTATGCAATTATTGTGGGTCTGATGATCATCTATGTCACTAGATTGCTCTTTGTCAATTTGACTTTTCCCGATCATGATGGTTGGGTAAGACAAAAACGAACGGGCGCCCGCGGGGAGACAAACTTTACAACACCTCATTCAAATTTTGAAAAAATATTGGCATTTGTTTCTCACCAAATCTCAAATTTGATTAATATTTGAATGGGTTAACCGAGTAATGCGCTATATGTTTTATATGAAAACGTCACACGAATCTCCCCCGAAAACGACATCTTTGGTCTTGCAGCAGAAGCTGTTTCTATGCTGAAAATTTCCTTTCAGTTTAAAAAATTTAAAATATTATTTATGCAGAATTGTACAAATATTTTAAAACTTTGAAATGAAATTTACAGAAATATGCATTTGAAAATTGTTTTAAAAAATAAACACGGTACAGTCAATTTCAAAAATTTCAATGAATAATATTGTTGACATATTTTCACGATGACAGCTATTTTTGCGGTACAAAATTGACCCGTTTGAATGATTTGTCAATATTGAACAATTGAACATACTCTACACACATGGGGAAACAGAGATGGCGTTGTCGTAGCATGTAGAAAAATATATGTTTAACGCAATATTCGGCTTGAATGGGTTAGGATAAAAGTGAGCTCAAATTTTCATATAAAAAGATCTCAATCATGGAATCGGTAAAAATAAATGACCAACTAAACTGAGATGAAAATAAAAGAGCAACATGATTCATGTTGGTCTTTTATTTTCACTCTAAACATGTTGAACTTTTATTTTTACGCTGCGCTGCGCACGGTGGTGTTTTATTTTCAAAGCAAATAAGTTCCCGTTTTATTGGAAGTCCAATCAAGTTGGTATTTTATTTACATTTTTATCATGTTGAATTTTTATTTATTTCAGCGGTCTTCCGTGTTTTTCATACAAGCCTTCCATATATAATTTTTTTCTTCGATTTACAAATTCTATTCAATTTTCTGTATCATCTGATGAAATCAGAATGAAAAAACTCTCATTCCTTATCATTGAAATCGTGATTTGCATTCGGTCACTATTTATTGAATAGTATTCAATAGGTGTTACATAGGAAGTTTGTATGAAACTCTCGGAGACTCGGTATAGAGCACTCAAAAAGTGAAAAAAATCCAGATCGTGATTTGGGTGATAAGAAACGCGATTTTTTTTATTCTGATTTCACCAGGTGATACAGAAAGTTGAGAAGTATTTGAGAATTGAAGAAAAAAAATTAATAATTTTTTTCATTTTTCACGATTTTTATCATTTACATGGGAGGCTTGTATGAAAGAGACACGGAAGACCGCTGAAATGGCAAATGCCAAATATATACGGACCTACGGCAGTGCCATTTCAGCGGTCTTCCGTGTTTTTCATACAAGCCTTCCATGTAGATGGTGAAAAATCGCGAAAAATGAAAAAAATTATTAAATTTTTTTTCTTCAATTCTCAAATACTACTCAATTTTCTGTATCACCTGGTGAAATCAAAATGATAAAAATCGCATTCCATATCATCTAAATCACGATCTGGACTTTTTTTTACTGTTTGAGTGCTCTATACCGAGTCTCCGAGAGTTTCATATAAACTTGCTATGTGATGCCTATTGAATAGTAAGCGAATACCAATCGTGTTTGAATCAATGGGCGTCATTTGGCTGCTACATGGCAACTTTATATGAAACTCTCGGAGACTCGGTAGCGAAGCCTGATCATGCCCGTAGCTAACAACACCTCTAATGCGTATTCCGAGTACTAATTGACGTTTGTGACAATATGGCAGTCACGGTTTGGAAAATTCATAATGAATCGATTAAACTGCGTTAAACTGTTAAAATAAAACAGAAATAAATAGATTTTAATTTTTTACATTTTTAAAAATAAAAATTCTTTGTTTTGTTTTGTAGTTTCCGGCAGTTTCGTGAGATTTACTGCACAATATTCAAAAATATTAAATTAATA